GGGGGAGTGGAAGAGGAGGAATATGAGGAGGGAACAGGCGAGGACAGAGCAAGGATGAGGAGGAGGATGCAAGGAGGCGGTGAGGAGGAGGATGAGGAGGAGGAGGAGGATGAGGAGAAGGAGGCGGAAGATGAGGAGGAGTCGGAGGAGGCGGAAGAGGAGGGGGATGAGCAGGAGGAGGAGGAGGAGGAGGAGGAGGCGAAGGAGACGGAGAATGAGGAGGGGGGGGGGGAACATGAGGAGGAGGGGGAGGACTATGAGGAAGAGGAGGAGGAACAGGCGCAGGAGCAGGAACAGGATGAGGAGGAGGATGAGGCGGATGAGGAGGAGCATGAGGAGGAGGAGGATGAGGAGGAGGAGGCGGATGAGGCGGAGGCGGAGGCGGAGGAGGATGCGGAGGAGGAGACGGAGACGGAGGAGGAGGGGGAGGAAGAGGCGGAGGAGGAGGAGGGATGTGGATGAGGATGAGGCTTGAGGCTACGGGTACGATTCATATTACGAATGTTACGACCAGTCATATTAATCTGGAGACCCCACATAAGCAGAACGCGGCCATTGAGGGCTAATACTGTTAGCCCTTCTAATACTATTACTACTACTACTACTACTACTACTACTACTCCTGCTGCTGCTGCTACTACTGCTACTACTACACCAGCTACTACTATGACTACTACCACACTACTGCTACTGCTACTACTACTCCTACTGCTGCTACTACTACTACTACTAAGGCCAAGACTGCCACTACTACTACTATTACTACTACTACTACTACTACTATTACTACTACTACTACTGCTACTGCTACTGCTACTGCTACTGCTACTACTACTACTGCTACTACGCCTGCCACTGTTACTGCTACCACCACTGCTGCTGCTACTACTACTACAGCCACCTACTACTACTACCACCACCATCACCACCCTTACTACTACTAGTACTGCTACTTGCACTACTACCTCTACTACTACTACTACTACTACTGCTGCTACTACTACGGCTGCCATTACTACCACTCCTACTACGACGACAGCGGCTACTACTACTACTACTACTACTACTACTATTACTACTACTACGACTACTACGACGACCACTACTACTTTTACTCCTGCTGCTGTTACTACTACTACGAGTACTGCTACTACTACTACTACTACTACCTATTACTACTGCTCCTGCTACGACGACCAGTGCTACTACTAGTGATCCTAATAGTATTACTACTACTACTGCTACTACTACCACTACTACTACCACCTACTACTACTACTACTACTGCTGCTGCTACTACTACTACTACTGCTACTACTACCACTACTACTACTACTACTACTACTACTACTACTACTACTACTACTGCTACTACTACTACTACTACCTACCTACCTACCTACCTACCTACCTACCTACCTACCTACCTACCTACCGACCGACCTACCTACCTACCTACCTACCTACTACTACTACTACTACCACCACCACCCCCCCCCACTAATACACTAGTTACTCGTAGTAGTAGTAGTACTACTACTACTACTACTACTACTACTACCGCCACTACTACTACTACTACTACTACTACTACTACTACTACTACTACTACTACTACTACTACTACTACTACTACTACTACTACTACTACTACTACTACTACTACTACTACAGACTACTACTACTACTACTACTACTACTACTACTACTACTACTACTACTACTACTACTACTACTACTACTACTACTACTACTACTACTACTACTACGACTACTACTAGGACTACTACTACTACTACTACTTACCCGCGGGCTTTTTTACTTATTTTTGCATTTTTCTTTTCTCTTCTTATACTACTTACGTACACTACTATACGACTACTACGACTACTACGACCAACTAACGACCTCTTTTAAGTATTTACTAACTACTTAATACTTCGACTAATACTGTACGCCAACACTAGTATTACTATACCATTACTACTACTACTGCCTACTACTACTACTTTATTACTACTACTATTTTACTACTACTATACTGCGACTACTATATTTACTTACGTACTTAATACTACTACTGGAGGAGGAAGATCTGCCTACACTGCTACTACTACTAGTAGTATAGTAGTAGCAGTTAGTAGTCGTAGTAGTAGTAGTAGTCCAGTAGTAGAGCAGTAGTAGTAGTAGTAGTAGCAGTAGTACTACTACTACTAATATACTACTATACTACTACTATATCACTACTACTACTACTACTACTATTACTACTACTACTACTACTACTACTACTACTACTACTACTACTACTACTACTACTACTACTACTACTACTACTATCACGAATACGCAGCCTAATACCAGATCCATGACTAATTATAATGAAAAGGGGGTTGAATTGGTTTTGCAGGAGAAGGACGAGGCGGAGGAGGAGGATGAGGATGAGGTGGGAGGAGGAGGAGAAGGAGGAGGAAGAGGAAGAGGGAGGTTGTGGAGGAGGAGGAGGAGGAGGAGGAGGAGGAGGAGGAGGAGGACGAAAGGAGGAGGAGGAGGAGGACGAAGAGCAGCAGGAGGAGGAGGCGGAGGAGGAGGAGGAGGAGGATCATGGCTGAGGTGCTATAGACTCTGTAGCGCCCCAGGTTGTGCCTATGAGGAGGAGGATCTGGAGGAGGACGAGGAGGAGGAGGGGGAGGAGGATGTGGTAGCTTCAGGAGCTCCTCTCCCTCATACAGCGCGCGTGCCCGAGCGCGTGAGGCCTGGTTGCCTCGAGACCGCACGCGCGAGCCCGATCCTGCGCGCTCGCGCCTGCATCTCATGGGCCTCTGGCGGAGACTGCCACGAAGCCTCCCCAGACTTTCGCGGAGACCTCCAGATGCCTCTGCGGATCCTGTCGATCGGGGAGGGCCCAGATTTGCGACAATTGTTTTTCGTCAATCTGTGCCTCCGGGGCCAGTTGTCGGGCCCCAGTGACCATCAAAAAAGGGTCTGGGGCGAAAAACTGGCCCCAAGGCAAGGGTCGGAACCTATGGGGTCGCGCATCGACAAAAATCCGATCACACCCCTTACAATACCGCCTGCTCCATGCGGGAGGGGGGCAGGGCATGGATGAGAGACTCGACTCCATTGGCAGGGCTTTGATTCCCAACTTTTTGCAGGGTTTGGGCGTGAACAGGGTCGTGGACAAGATGTCGATCGTGGAGCGTCGTCGACGGGAAACTCCGGAGGGGAAAAAAGCACGGACACAACCGAACGTCGACGCCGAGGAAACAGTGCACCATGCGGGCAGCGGGTGGGAAGACGGAGACCTGAGATGTTGTCGGGGGTGGACAGAACCCCCAACAGTGGCACGTCGATTAGTGAATTGTCCGTTTTCGGTTCTCGAGAGGGCGCCGTGGCCGTTCCAGGCTCGCGCCCGCCAGGTTTGGGCCTCGGGTCGTTTTCACTAAATCACGTTTTGCTGAAGGGGGGTCTGTCCATCCCCGATGTTGGGAATCCCGAGATCTGCGTGTGGGTTCACTTGTGTGCCCCTGGGCCCCCTGCCGAGAGCTCGGCCGTGGCTCTCCCCCGTGGATGCCAAAAGGGCGGCTCCGCGGGCCTGCCCCCCGCGCGGGGAGCGCCCTCTCTGCACGGGGAGCCGCGCGTCCAGCGGGCCGCCCGCGCCTCGGCGGCCCGACCGCGAGGGCGGCGGGGTGCGGACCTGCTCGTCTTGCAGTCGAGACGCTGAGATTATCCAGCCAGGATGCGTCACACAGTGAGTGAGGGAGCCGGCACGTCGTAATTACTTGATTTTCTTATGTTTCACATGCATAGTTGTTGAATCTACGATTACATGTTGCATTTCTCCTTTGCCCATCCTCTGTTTGGACCTACTCGTCTTGCAGTCGAGACCGCGAAGGAGCAGGGGGCCGGGGCCGGGGGCACGGCAGAGGCTGAGGCAGCCTCGCAGGGGATCACACCCAAGCCGTGTGACGCGCACGCGAATGGAGGCCAGGGCAGCACCCTCGGTGGGGCCGCAGCGCGTGCTGTCTTCCGCGCCATTGACCAACAAAAAAGGGAGCAGCATGGATTCGGAAGGGGCTCGCTGTTCCTGAGGTCCTTGCATGGCCGTCCCTCCAGCCCTCCTCGTGAACGGGGAGGCGGTTTTGGGGCCAAAAAGGGGCTTCACTCCTTGTTTAGCGTGCCTTATGATGTCAGCGGCCCGACTGTACCAGCTTGAAGCATCTTCCTACGGGCGTTCTCGAACGAATGCCCAAATACAGCCGACTAGAAGATGGCGCAAGAGCGCCCCGAGCGCCCCTCATTTCAATGTGCATCTCATCGCGCAGGCCGCGGTTTGCAAATGTGGTCGGTTTTTTCAACACGACCCTCACTCCCCCGCGTCGAACGCTCCGACCTTTGACATTGGGTCCGGGGGTATGGATGTGCTCGTCTTACCAGCTTGAACCATATCTCAGCGGCGAGCACGGGGGGGAAGTGAGAAGGAGAAGGCCTTCTCAGAAGCCTCGGAAGCCCCCTGGTCTCCTGAGAAGTTCTCTACCCGAAGGCACAGCAAACTCCTCAGAAGGCGCGAGAGCTTCTGAGAAACCCCGCTACCTTCTGAGAAGGCCTTTTACATCTCACTTTCCCCCTCGCTCGCCGCCACATATCCCTATCCCCATGTTTGACATCACCTCGCCTCGGTGACGACCTTGAGGATTCCCATAGCTTCCGAGGGCACACCGCTCAGATGGTCGTCGCCTTGGGTCTGCCGATCTTAGGGATGGAGGTAAGTCCGAGGCCGGTTATCGTGTGTTAGCCCACTGTGTGTGTGTGTGTGTGTGAGTGTGTGCGTGTGCGTGTGCGTGTGTCACCCCGTTCGGCCTGTGTCGGCCATCGTTGCACCACCTTCCTCGTGCTGAAGGGCTTCGGTGGACCGGCACGCGTCGGCGCCGACGCGCGTTCTGAGGATCCTCGGCCGCCGCTCGTGGCCGCAGCCCGCCGACGACGCCCGAAGCCCGCCAGGGCACCTCCCACTCGTTCGGCCGCCTGGGCCTCGGCGCGCTGAGCCCCGCGACCGCGGCCAGGCACCGGCCCCCCCCCCGCCGCCGGCGGCATCCCTCGGCGACTGCAGGGGGTTCTGGCTGCGCCGGGGTGTGTGGTTTGCGATCGGCACCGCTGGGGCCTGGGGGGGGGCACGACACGGTCCTCGTCGGGCCTCCTCGGGGCGCCGCGGGAGAACGCCGTTGAGGTCCCCGCGCGCCCCCCAGGGTGCCCCCCAGGATGCTCCCCAGGGTGCTCGTTGCAAACCACACCCTTTGGAAGCCGCACCCCTTGGAGTCGGCGAATCCCGCTCTGGCGGCCGCAGTGGTGGCGGCAGGGGTTCACCAGGGTGAAGTCGGGCGTGGCCCTCGACAGAAGGAAGATTCAGAAATGGGCCAACAAAACTAGTCTGGGGACGATTCGTCGGTTATTGTTGACTCCTTTTGAGTATTTGTTTGACTATTCTTCATTTTTGTTCTTCCAGAATCCGCCTGCAGGAGGACGCGCCCGACCTAACACTAGGGGGGAAAGCACGCCGACCATGACCAGGATGTCGCGGGATCTTGTCGACAACGATCTTGGTCATGGTGCATACTGGCCGTCGCCCGTTCGCGATCGTGATCTACGAATTGACGCTGGCCAAGATGGACCGGGTCCAGAGGCGAGGGGGGACACCGTGGCAGCACAACCTGCGGTCCCACCCTTCTCGCAGAATGAAACACGGAATACAGTCGATACCGATGGTAAGAATTGGTGACTTTCTCAAGGGTTTTCTTGCATCCTTGCCTCTTCGGTCTATCAGCGATGCTTACCAGCCTGAAGCATACCCTTAACCCTATGATGGGCATCGCCTCAGCTCGATGTCGATCTCGAGGATTTCCTCAGTTCTGAGGACGCATCCCTGAGACTGTCGTTGCCTCTTGGCTTGTCAATCTTCGGGATAGGGATCATATCGAGGCTGGTTAGTCGGGGGTGGGCAGAACCCCCAACATGACACGTCGATTAGTGAATTGTCCGTTTTCGGTTCTCGAGAGGGCGCCGCGGCCGTCGTCATTTTCCTGGCTTGCGCCCGCCAGGTTAGGGCCCGAGGTCGTTTTCACTAGGCCACGTTTTACTGAAGGGGGCTCTGACCAGCATCGAGGTAGATGCTGGGACACCGCCCCCTCGCGATTCCGCTTCGATTCGAGGTCGGACTCCGATCTGAATTCTGGTGCCTCGATGGAGGCCTTACCAACCTGCCGATTTCCGCCGATTCGTTTTCTCCCGACTTGGCGGCCGGTGTCCGCCGATCCGCTTTATTTCGATCGCCGATCCGACTTGTCGATTAGATTCTGGGCTCTCTGGCCCGCCCAGCGCGCGAATCCTCGGCGCACTTTTCCAGCCACTGAGAAGATAATTGGGAGCCCTGGTTTGGCTGCTGGCCAAAGCGTAGCACGATGGATGCGCTGTCGATCGCACGCCGTATGTTCGATGCAGCGCAGAGCTCGCAACACTCTGGCCTAGTTGCTGTGTTTTTGAATTTTGCAAAAGCATTCGACAGAATGAGCACGCAATGCTTTGATCAGAGCTTTGGAAAGATTTGGTATCCCAGAGTCCATACTGAACATCATCTCTGCGATCTACCAAACACGTTCTTTATGTTGAAAGACCGGGCAGGGGATTTCTGCATCAGGCAACAAAAGTTCAAAAGGGCGGGCATCGCGCAAGGCGGCTTTCTGTCCCCGTACATGTTTGTTCTTATTCTCCAAACGGTTATGTTTTCCGACGTCGCCCGGCTAAACAAGAGTATGGGTAATTAAGAATTGCCAGGAGCCAGACGACGTGGTGTGCAATGACATCTTGTACTCAGACGACACGATACTCGTGTGCGCCGACCAATTTGACTTACAATGCCTTCTGGGTCTGACTATCGGCATGGGGAAACAGTGCAGGCTAGATTCGACTTGGGATAGAACTGTGGTCATGGCAATCAGCAGCCCCGGGGTCATTCACGGTTCGCCCATGCAGCATATCAAGAAGGTACAGCAAGCCGTACATTGGGTGGCTTGCTTCATGACCGAGCCGAAAGCAAATCACGAGACGGCTGGAAGAGGCCAGAGGGGCCTTTCAAAGCGTTGAACATTTTCTGGATACATACGGGCATCAGAAAAGACAGGGAACTGCGCCTATTTGATGCGATTGTGATCCCGAAGCTCTTGTGCAATGTAGATTCTCTTTGGTTATTGCAGGCAGGCCTTGCCATAATGGACAGTTTCCAAGCATCGTGCCTCCGAGTAATATTAAAGATCAGGCATTCTTACTATTCCAGAACTGCGAACGCCATTGTGTTATTCAAAGCGAAAACTGTTCCTTTGAGTGAGACGCTCCAGAAGCGACAAGTACGAACATGTGAAAAATAGTGAACCCTTCCGAAGCAAATTGTTTAGGAGCACTTGTGTGTTAGCCAGGAGGGAGGAGTCCAAAGCAGTCGCGCGTGCACCAGAAACGCAGCCGCCCAACGCTATCATGGCATGGGCTAGCGTATGGCTATGGGCTAGCGCATGGCTGTGTTGTTGCTGGTGTTATTGTTCTGAGGCGAGGCGGCGTGGAGTTGGCCATGCTGTGGCACGCGTCTCATGTGCCACCCGAGGTTCGAGTACCCGAGAGTACTCAACTGCCGAGGCCGACGCCAGTCGAGATTCGCAGCGCGTCCAACAGTTTTTGAAAGCTAGCAGGCGCGTTTTTTTTCGGGTCCCTTTAAGATCCTCGAGGTGTCGCTTCGTTTTCCTCCATCGAGGGGGGCAGAGACCAGAAACGGCCAGAGACCGTCCGCTGTGAATTGTGTTGCGACGCGACGGGGTCTGGTTCCTCCTCCTTTTCTCCTCCTCCGCTTCCTCCATTTCCCAACATTTTTTGGTGTTATAGGCCAATCTTTTATGTCGCGCCACCATACGTATCGGCAAGGCGGGTCGGGTGTGCCGCCTGAGACTTCACCATTCGTGATCTTGATGTTTGAAGTTTGAAGCAATTTAAGGATGGAGGGCGGGTGGTTTTCAAAATGTGGCTCTCGCATAAGCGCCGTTCGCATTTGTTTTCCAAGCACAACCGCTTCACGGATGGAGTGCTGGTGGTTTTTAAAATGTGGTTTTCGCCTTGGCGCCGATCACATGTGTTTTCTCAAGCATGCAACCGTTTCAAGGACAGCATGTTCAAGGATTTGTAGGGTTGAAGTCCTTGGAATGGTGTCCTGGAACGATTTAGGGTTGTCAGGACGTAACAGTCACGTTGACTTGCGGCGTTGGAGTCCAAGGGTTTGTGCTCTGGCACGATTGAGGAGTGCCAGGACGCAAAAGGTCTGTTGGGCCGCGGCGTTGAAGTCCCAGGAATTACGTTTTGGCACGGTTGAGGACTCTCAGACGATTGTTCTTTAGTGAGTCGTTTCTTTCGGTGGACATACATAATTGCACAGATTTGTAAAGACGGACTTTGGAGGGATGCTTTATTGCAGCGTCGTTGATGCGTCTTGCTTGGGCTTGTGCTGGTCCTCCTCCTCCTCCTGCTCCTCCCCCCCTCCCTCGATGGGAGGGTCCTTGCACCGCGAGGACCAGGAGCTCCGAGTGCGTCGAGGAGGTGGCGCGCCTAGGCACGCCCGACGGTGCACCTGGTGGGGTTGGGGGGGAGAACTTCTTCACCGCTTGACCGTTCCGTCGCCCGCGGACCGCCTTGTCGCCGGAGGACCGCTTCGCCGGCAGACCGTTTCACCCCGCTCGACCGATTCGCCCGCAGGGGTCCGCCGCAGCTGTCCGCTGGCGAAGCGGTGCCCATGGAAGCGGTTCGCTGGTGAAGCTGTCCGCTGGCGCAGTGGTCTTGTGCCTGGGTTCGGGGGCGCCAGAGAGTTCGGCCACGACCACGCAAAACGACAACGACCGACGACGACGACATTGACCGACCGAGCGACCGACCGACGACCGACGACTGACGACGAAGTAACTGAAGGAACTCGTCGCCAAGACTGGACGCCGAAATGCGGGGTTCCAGGGGCAGATTTTGACCGCGTTTTGGTCGGACGGTGGGTGGCGGCGACGGCGACGAGGACGACGCAGGCGGCGACGGCGACGACGACGACGACAACGACGCAGGCGACGACGACGACGACGACGGACGACGCGAATGACGACGACGGTACTGCACTCGTCGCCAAAGCTGGACGCCGAAATGCTCCCGGGGAGGGGTCCAGGGGCAGGATATCACCGCGTTTTGCTCGGATGGCGACGGCGACGACGACGACGCAGGCGACGACGACGAAGTCGACGAGGACGACGAGGACGATGAGGTCGACGAGGACGACGGCGACGGCGACGGCGAACAGATCACGACGCGGGCGGTGCGGCTCTCCAGAGTGCCTCCCGTAGCCGTGCATCAGATGGTCCCTGCTTTCGCGGGCGCACCTCTGGGGCTTGAATCGAAAGCTGGGCGAGGGCTGCTAACACCGTGGCTGCTAAAACGGCCCTCCGGAAGGAAAAAACAACTTCCCGGAATGAGGCGCGGCACGCGAAACAGTCAACGGGCTTCTTCCGGGAAGGACGAAGACAACTTCCCGGAGGTCGATTGTAGCAGCCACGGATTTAGCAACCCTTGCCCGGCTTCCGATTGAAGGAGGCAGCCCTTTTTTCATCTTCTCCTGCGGTTTGGACCGAGGTATAAGATCGAGGTCGGTTCGGGGAGAGTCTTCAGCTTGGCCGGCGGAGGGCCTCATGTTCTTGTCCTAGGTCCGACTGTATCTCTCTCCTCTCTCTCTCTCTCTCTCCTTGCTCCCTCCTTTTGTACCTTTCTTTCCTGCTCTGCCCTGCCTTTCCTCTCCATGTCTTGTATCCCTTCTCTGGAGGTCACTGGAGGTCTTCAGGAGCGCAGAGTCCTTCGTGCAGGCTTCAAGATGACACATCATCAGGAATAACTGTGGTCCTGGCTTTGAGGATCGTGCGAGGAGGAGGAGGAGGAGGATGAGGAGGATGAGGAGGGGGATGAGGAGGAGGAGGGGCAGCAGGAGGACGGGCAAGAGGGGTGGGAGGAGCAGTAAGAGGAGGAGGAAGGAGGAAAGGAGGGGTGGTGGTGGTGGTGCTGCTGATGATGGTGATGATGATGGTGATGATGATGATGCTGATGCTGATGCTAACGCTGATGCTGATGCTGATGCTGCTGCTGATTATTGGTGGTAATGATGATGCTGAGGCGAATGATGATTTTTATGATGATGATGCTGATGCTGATGACGATTCTGATACATGCGATGATGATGATGATGATTGATGATGATGCTGCTGATGATTGTGATGATATTGATGATGACGATAATGCTGATGCTGATGCTGATGATGATGCTGATTCTGATCATGGTTCTGCTGCTGCTGCTCCTTCTGCTGCTGATGATGAGGATGATCATGATTCTGATGATTCTGGTGGTGGTGATTTTGATGATGATCATGCTGATGATGCGTATGCTGACGATGCTGATGCTGATGCTGATGATGATGTTGATGATGCTGATGCTGATGCTGATGATGATGATGATGGTGGTGGTGGTGGTGATGACGATGATGTTGATGGTGATGGTGATGATGCTGATGCTGATGCTGATGCTGCTGCTGTTGATGACGATGCTGCTGCTGATGATGACGATGATGATGATGGTGATGATGATGCTGGTGATGATTATGACGATGATGACGATGATGATGATGCTGATGACGATGATGATGATGATGATGATGATGATGATGCTGATGATTCTGATGATGCTGATGATGATGACGATGACGATGACGATGAGGATGCTGATGATGATGATGATGATGCTGATGATGCTAATGATGATGATACTGATGATGATGATGATGATGATGATGATGACGATGGTGGTGGTGGTGGTGATGATGATGATGATGATGATGATGATGGTGATAGTGATGGTGATGGTGATGGTGATGGTGATGGGGATGGTGATGATGATGATGATGATGATGATGATGATGATGATGATGATGATGATGATGATGATGATGCTGGTGATGATAGCCACCGCGCGCTCAATTGCAGGAGTGGGGGCGGTGGCGAGGACACTTTTAGACTTGTGCCATGTGCGTCGCTGGCTGCCGCAGGCGCGGGGGCAGGTGACGAGCGCGGGGGGGCTGTGATGGTGCCGTCGAAAGTCCTGCGGGTGATCGGTCTCAACCAGCTCTTCGCCTCCACGACCGTGAGGCTGGCGGAGCTGATCTTGGCGACCAGGACGGCAGATGCGTTCTTGTTGGCGGGTACGAAGGCCGCGTACAGAGAATGGCGAAGAGCGTTATGACAGAGAGTAGAAGGGCGGCTGCTGGTGCAGGCGGTGCACCACAAATGGCCCTTACACCAACAGGCACGCGGGCTGCGCGATGGTCCTGCGTAAGGGCGTGCAGGAGAAGCACCTTCGGCGCACGTGGGGTCTCCACGTCTCCACCAGGTGCCGAGGGACGTGCGCTCGCAGTCCGAATGAAGAGGGTCGCAGGACACGGTGCTGGGGGTCATTTGCTTCCCCGTGCAGCCGTCGGAGACCAACGCTGTGGGCTTGTACAGGCAGAAGGTGAAGCTGCTGACGCAGTGGTGGCGCCAGATGCTGCAGGAGATGCCGCAGCGCACCGTGTCTGTATTCTTTCGCGGACACAAGCGACGGCATCGGCATCTCGAAGGTGGTCAGTGAGTGGCGGCAGACGGGTTGCGATGGGCTGGGGCGGGCTGTTACGCGCGAGCGGCGACGTCGAGGACCTGGAAGGCGATTTGCCACGTGCTGGACGAGCAGTTCACGGCCGCCCCGTCCACGTTTCGGGCGACGCCCGAGCCCGCGTACAACGCGAGCGACATGGGGGGCATGCCAGGGGGATGCAGTGCTTTCGACTACTTCTTTATTCCGCAAGGCTACCTGGAGCGGTCGAGAGGGTCCATGCGATGGGGCACGTGGGCGCGCAGGGGGAGGTGACTATGGGGACCCCGCCGCGCGACCACCTCCCCCCCCTGCTGGACATCGCGCGCCAGTTGCATGTGGGGGGCAGGTCGAGCAGCGGCGTGACCTGACGTTCGACCCGACAGCGATGATAGAGGCTCTTCCGCGGCGCCTTCTATCGCGGTCAGCTTCCGGTGCGCCGCGCCAGTTTGGCCCCGCGTTATTGGCGCGGGAGGCGCGCGGCGGTGCTGGGCGAACCCGGCGGCGCGGCAGCGGCGCGGAGCGAGCGCGCGATCCACTGTCTTGCTGGCCTGGGCAGGGCCTGCTACGCGAAGCGGTTCAAGTTCGGGCCCTTTTTCAAGAGCTACGGCTTCGTGCGCGGGCGCCGACGGGCAGGGGCCACGATGGCGTCGCAGGTCCCCTGCGGGCGGCCCAGCCGGGGAGGCTGGAGCTTAGCCGTGGCGATGAAGGACTGGCGGCGCGCGTTCGGCTCTGTTGGCCGGGGGGCGCTGGGCGAGTCGGCCGGGCGGGCGGCGGACTGGCTGGGCGAGGACCTACGCGGTGGTGGACTTGCCGACGCGCGAGGGCGCGCGCGCAGTCTACGTGGGCGATGTCATGCTGATGGCCGACCCGCTCAGTGTCGAGGCGTTTGCGAAGGCCTGCTAGTCACCGACCACCAAACCACCCCGACCCAACCCGAAGCCCTCAATTTGCCTTCCATTTCCAGTGTGGGGGGGGGGGGGGGTCGGGGAACGTTGAAAAAAACACATGGTATCCGTGCCCCCCCAACCCGAAATTCGTTTCAAATTCGGGTCTTCGGGTTGGGTTGGGGTGGTCTTGTAGGTAGTCAGCTAGGGGCCCGCGCAGGAGTGGGGGTGGCGAGTGCGCGAGCGACGCCCAACGGGGCCCTTTGCTGGCGCGCGAGCGGGGGCGCCTGGGCGACGTCGACCATGGCTGCCGCCAGTGCGCGGGCGATCCGATCATGCGCTACCTGCTAGGCGCGGGTGCTTCCATGGAGGACATGGAGGCCGATGGCGAGCTGGGAGGGGCGCCGGGCGAGCTCGGGGCGAGGCAGAAAAGGGGGAAGCAGGTGGTCGGCCTGATGGTATTTGGCGCGGGGGTCACAGCCTGCTGGAGGCAGATCCGCGAACGTGGGCGGGGGCCCGCGGGCCCCGGGGGAGAGGCGGGCGACGCGGCGCGCTACTTGGCCCCGATGATCCCAAGGGAACGGCGGAGCGCGGTGCGCCGAGGAGGTGCGGGGCGGCGAAGGTGGTTTTCTGCGCCGCGGGCGGCTGCTGAAGTTGGAGCGTGCCGCGTCGGTGGAGTGGGCGGTTTTCCATGGAGCTGTGCTGGGCGCGCTGTTGTCTGGCATGGATGGCGCTGCGCCCGGGGCGAGTCAGAGGTGTTGCCGCGGCGGAGCGGGCCGGCAGCCAACGCGGGGGCGGCGTCGCCGAGCCTGGCGACGAGCGAGGTGCTGGCGCACTGGGGCCCGCCGGATGCGGGGGCCGAGCTGCTGGTGAGAGACTGCGGCGGTGCCGGGGCTGGGCGCGAAGGGCGATGGCGCAGGCGCGGCTCGTCTCCGGGCTGTTCGCGGACCTCCCTGGCTTTCAGGCCCCCCCGCCGCGCGCAGGGGCGGGGCTTTCTGAGGCGGCCTCGCATTGGGCTCTCCGAGTTGGAGGCGACGCGGGCGAGGCGGCGAAGGCCGGCGAGGGCGGCGCTGACTGGCCGGAGGAGTTGAGCAGAGCGCTGTGGAAGCTGGCGGCGGACGGGGGGCCGGCGAACGAGCTCGCGCTGCTTGACCTTGGGTGCGATCCGGCACGGCTGCGACTCAGGTCCCGCCGCCGAATGCAACCGCGCCGATTGAGATGGAGGACTGCGCGGAGCTGGGCGAGGAACATCAGCGTCTGCAGCGCGCCGTTAGCAGAGAGCCCGCGGCGCGCGGCGCGCTCGCCGCGCGCGGGCGAGTTTTCTCGGTGCAGAGGGCGACAGCTTAGCGTCTTCAAAGGGGTGCGCGAAGAGGATTGTGCCGGGCGCAAGAGTCGGGCCCTGCGCGGGCACGAAGTCCCCGCGGGCCTGAAGTGCGACCGCTGCGAGTTCGAGGGCGCGGATTGGCCTGCGCTCGGGCGGCATCTTGGATCGAGCCGCCTGCCTTTGCCAGTTATGGGGCCGCCGCCGAGTGACCAGAAGAGCAGTGGGGAGCGGCGTCGCGCCGACGTGGCTCTGGCGCCTCGCGGATGAGGCTGCGCCCTTGCATCGGTGGGACGAGCGGCAAATGGGCCGCGAAGGACCAGGACAACAAGGGGCGGCGGCGAGGGCGGCGGCAGAGGCGACGTGGCGGAAATGTGCACGGCGACGGCGAAGCTCGCCATGGCCGCTGCGCGGCTGGCGGGACTCCTCGAGGGCGCGGCGCGCGACTCGACGCTGGCCGCTGGGGGCGAGGGCGATCTTGGCAACGAGCTTATCTGCGCAGGCGCGGAGTAAGACGCGGAGAGCAAGCAGATGAAGGAGTTGCAGAAGTAAGGCAAGGAAGTGGACTGCCGCGCGCGTGGGGGCCCGCGCACGAGGGCGTTCGTGAAGGCGCGGCGTGGATGTTCAAGGGGAGTGGCCAGGGCGGCAAGCTTCCGCGCCCGCGCCCCGCAAGGAACTGCAGGAGTCCTGGGCGGATATCGCGTTGGAGAGCACGGCGAAACAGTTCGGGCAGGTGGTGAAGCAGTTCCGCGGCCAGATGTCGAAGGCTTCGGGGCCGCCGAAGCTTGGGGCCCTGGCGCTGCACTTCAGCGGCCGCGGAACAGGGGCCGTCGTCGGGAATTCGATGCGGGAGTGCATCGAGAATTTGGGGAAGGCGGACACGGTGTCGGGCCTAGCGCCCCGCGACCCACGCGAGTTCGAGACCGCGCGGTGCCTGTCAGTGCTCGGGGGCGCGACGGCCTACGGACGAGCGCCAGGCTACAGGTGCTCATCGCCAGAGGGCTCTTGCCAGCGAGCGTGAGGCCTGGGCCTGATGGCGACAAATGCGAAACCTGTCTTAACCCTCTGCTGCTGCAGATTCATGTAGCGGTCCTAGGTCCTGGCAAACACACATTGGAATAGAGGCAGGGGGACTGTGCGTGGTCGTAGAGGTCCCCGTGGGGTGTGTGGGGGGGGAGGGCGGCAACCAGAAGCAGGGGGGGGGGCTCAGGTCACCTGGGGGCTCCTGGCCTGGGCCGTGCATGTCGGATGCCGTTGGTCACCACCCACCAAACCACCCCAACCCAACCCGAAGGCTCAGATTTACCCTCGATTTCCAGTGGGGGGGGGGTCGGGAAACATAGACAAAAACACAGGTGGAACCCTCACCCCCCCACCACCCGAAATTCGGGTCTTCGGGTTGGGTTGGGGTGGTTTGGTAGGTAGTCAGTTGGGGACCCAGCGCGCGTGGACTAGGAAGAGGGGCCTCAGGCCGTCAGATCTCCTCCTGGAATGGCGGTCCCCTTAAGCGGGGCACCCACCCGGCTGCGCGCCGTGGCGGTGGGCCGCTCTGTTTCGGGGCAGCGCGGGCCTCGGGGCCAGTCGGCCTCGTTACAGTTTCCCCTCGTCGCGAAATGGCCAAACGGCGATGCTCCAAGGCTCCCTGGTCCGCGTTTCCCCCGAGGGCCTGCTCAGCGCCCCTCGGAGCTCGTTCCGTTCGATCTGATGAGGCTGATGATGGTGATGACGATGGTAATTGTTGTGTTGTTGATGGTGATGATGATGATGATGATGATGATGATGATGATGATGTTGCTGCTGCTGATGCTGCTGCTGATGATGATGAGGATGGCACTGGTAACGATGGCGGCTAGCTTTTGTTGCTTTTTTTTTGTGGCGGCGATGACGATGATGACGAGGATGATTGACGACGGTGCTGAGGATGATGATGCTGATGATGATGATGATGATGCCGATGCTGATGCTGATGTCGATGCTGCTGATTATGATGATGAAGCTGGTGATAATGCGGCCGGTGATGATGCTGATGCTGCTGCTGATGATGATGACGCTGATGATGCTGATGATGATGATGATGATGATGCTGATGATGATGATGATGATGATGATGATGATGATGATGATGATGATGATGATGATGCTGATGATGATGATGCTGATGATGATGATGATGATGATGATGATGCTGATGATGATGATGATGATGATGATGATGATGATATGATGGTGATGCTGTGCTGATGATGCTGATGCTGCTGATGTGCTGATGCTGATGCTGCTGATGATGCTGATGATGCTGATGATGATGATGATGATGATGCTGATGATGATGATGATGATGATGATGATGATGATGATGATGCTGATGCTGATGATGATGATGATGATGATGATGATGATGATGATGATGATGATGATGATGATGATGATGCTGATGCTGATGATGATGATGATGATGATGATGATGATGATGATGATGATGATGATGATGATGATAATGATAATGATAATGATGTTGATGCGGATGCTGCTGCTGCTGTTGATGACGATGATGATGCTGCCGATGATGTGGATGAGGATGAGGATGGTGAGGATCGTGAAGATGGTGATGATGCTGATGCTGCTGATGATGCTGATGCTGATGATGCTGATGGGGAGGAGGAGGAGGAGGAGGAGGAGGAGGAGGAGGAGGAGGAGGAGGAGGAGGAGGAGGAGGAGGAGGAGGAGGAGGAGGAGGAGAAGGTGGAGGAGAAGGAAAAGGAGGAGGAGGAGGAGGTGAGGAGGCAGAGGAGCATGAGGAGGAGGATGAGGAGGATGAGGAGAGGAGGAAGAGGAGGAGGAGGAGGAGAGGGGAGGATCAGGATCAGGAGGAGGAGGATGAGGATGGGGGAGGAGGAGGAGGAGGAGGAGGATGAGGAGGAGGAGGAGGAGGAGGAGGGAGGTTGGAGGAGGAGGAGGATTAGGAGGAGGCGGAGGGAGGAGGAGTGGAGGAGGAGGAGGAAGGGGAGGAGGAGGAGGAGGAGGAGGAGGAGGAGGAGCGGAGGAGGAGGAGGAGGAGGAGGAGGAGGAGGAGGACAGTGGAGGTATTTGATACAGGAGGATGGATAATGAAGAGAGAACGGAGGAGGATTCTGAGTGAGGGGGGCGCAGGACGGGGGGAGGAAAAGGCGAATCATGAGGAGGGAAAGGGAAAGGCAGGACGAGGGGGAGGGGGAGGAGGGGCATGGGGATGCAGGAGCAGGGTGGGCGGAGCGGGGGGCGGGAGGAGGAGGAGGAGGAGGAGGAGGAGGATGAGGACCGAAGAGAGGAGGAGGAGGGAGGAGAGGAGGAGGAGGAGGAGGAGGAGGAGGGAGGAGGAGGAGGAGGAGAGGAGAGGAGGAGGAGGAGGAGGAGGCGAAGGAGGGAGGAGAGGAGTGAGGAGGAGGAGGAGGAGGCGGAGGAGGAGGAGGAGGAGGAGGAGGAGGAGGAGGAGGAGGAGGAGCAGGGAGGAATGGGGAGTTGACGACGGCTGGCGGCGGCGACCGATCAGCGGCGGCGACCACGGCGGGAACGCGGAGCTTGCGGGACGGGTAGGCAGCCCGCGGTCGAGCTCGTCTCCGCCCAGGGAGGACTCCGCGCGGGGCCGCCTCGGGGGTGTCGCAGGGCGCGAGCCTCTGTTCTCGAGGCTCGATCGGGTCTTTCTTTCGGCTATGCGCAAGAGTACCCCTTCGCAGGAGTGACCTTCGGTGCTGACCCACAGGGGCGTCCCCACCTCTGTGTCTCTCGCCATTATCAGGGGCAACGATAGGGGGGGATAGGCATAGGTGTGGATGCATCGACGCCCCCCATCGCCCAGGGATCGCCGATAGAGGTCCGGTAGCCCCAACCTGCACATGAAGGTGCGGATTCACTGCCGGGGGCCTACCGCTGATGCATCGGCAGTGTATCGCCGATTCCAGGTCGATGCTTCCCCCCCTTATGCCTATCCCCCCCCTCTCGTTGCCCCTCGCATTAATCAGCTTTGGGCCGCTCCGCGGCCCCCCAGAGCTGCGCACCAGAGGTCGCTCTTGCCTAGGGTCACTCCCGTGTGCAGCCGATTCTCCTCTCCTGAGATCCAGGCGTTGCATGAAGTCGGGCACGTCCCTCTACAGGAGGAATGTGAAACAACAGTCGAGCAACGGTTTTGGGACGATTTGTTTCTACTGCTTCTGATCGTCGTTGAGCATGCGTTTACCACTTTTTATCATTCCTCCCAAATTCGCCTGTAGGGGGACATGTCCGACCTCAGCGTTGCAATTTTTTTTTCCGCGCCAGGCGTTCTCGCCCGGTTCTGGGCCCAGGGACCCTACAGATCGATCCGGCCTCGCAGATGCAGCAGAAGGATGGGGTCCAGGGGGTTCCGTTCGTGCTCGTTCACGATGTTGCATTTGGCTAAGAGTTGAAGTGGAACATCCTATCGATGGAGTTGAACCACACGTGGGAACTACCGTGCAGGACCTCGAACAGCTCCACGGAGGGGAGCATAGTCATGCAACAGCTCTTCAGGACCAATCTCATCGTCGCACCTCAGGGACGGGGCTGGCGCGAGGGGGCGGCCTTCTGAGAAGCTTGGGGGGGGTTCGTCTTGTAAGGCAGAGGGCTTCTCAGACGCCATCTTGGCTTCTCAGAAGCCTTGTCAGAAGCCTCTGGGCCTTTCCAAGAAGATCTCTGCGAGGCCTCTCGGATGCCTCGTGGAGGCGGTTGTGGGGGTGCCTTGGGGCGCCTTCTGGGGCCTGAATTGGGCCTCTCGATGTCTCTTGAGAGCTTCTTGGGGCCTCTGGAACACCACATACCTATGTTATGTCCTGTGTGTACC